AGGTAAAAGTTCTAATATGTATTTCAAAAGGATTAGGACCTTCTTATTGAGTTTTTGTGTTGAGATAATGGGATTCTTCAGCAACTCCAAGGAATTACTAAGATTCCCTATGTTCATGTTACCCTATTCGTCTCCATGGTAACATCTTGCTTCTTCACAGTACAACTGTCCTAATAGACACTGTGAAGAATATGGCCCAAATCACATCTCCATCACGCAAAGGATGTGTCGTCTTGCCACTTTATCATCAGGTCCACTCCCTCCCATTGCACCTTCATCGACGCCAACCATATCTCTTCTTCATTTCTAAATTTTGTCATTTCAGTATTGTAGAAGTGTATCACGGGTGACACAGCCTTTTGCGGTTGGTATTTTTCATTCAACATCCTCTCTGGGGAGAGAGGCAGATGACTGCGTGGGTCAAGAGTTCAACCCTTTGACTGCCGATGTGTACACCAAGGTATGGTCAGCTGGCTTATTTGTTCATCCCCAGAAGGTCATCAGTGTTGATTCCAGGTTTTGACATTGACAAATAAAATTTAAAACCACATCAAGACTCATGATGGGTTTTGTGTGGGTCTGTTTTCATTTCTCTGAGAGAGAAATGCCCAGGGAAGCATCACAGTGATAGTTGTTTGGGAACCTGCAAGACTGTTTTCCAGTGGGACTGGATCACTCACACTCCTGCAGCAAGAGACAAGTGACCCCATCAGGAGCTCTGCATCCTCACCGCCACTGTGGCCATGATTTCTTATTTTAGCCATCTGGTAGAATCACAGGTGTTTCTCACGGTGACCTTAGTTTGCATTGCCCTGTGGCCAATATGAGATCCTTTCTTGTGTTTATTTGCTGGAGACAAATTCTCTTTGTTTTCCTTCCCTTAAAGGACATTTTCACTTGACCTGAGAATGTTCTCAATGATAGAGCATTTGGGGCTGATCCATGTTTTAGAGCGTGGATGATGGTGTGCGGTGTCTGTGGCGTCTGTGGTTACTGGAGAGATTCATTACCTGTGATGGTCTTTTTCCCTGTAGGTCAGGTGTAATTTTCATCTTGGAGCATCAAGATTCATTTTTCTTAGTTAGCCGTCAGCTTGACAGTCAAGGCTTTGTGTTTATGCTGTTTGGGACTTATTAGAGTTCTTGCACGTGACTGTCCTGCATTTGAGACCGTTCCTTCGTTATTTCCAGGAGTACTAGCCAGCTACCCATGTATCTCCTCTCCTCCTGGCCTCCATTGGCAAAATGCTTGATCTCTTGTGATCTGCCCACCAATCTCCTCCTCCACACCTGCCAGCAAAGGTTCTAATTTCTGTTTCACACATTTTCTTTCTGCCTTTGCAACTGGATAATTTCTATTGTTCTGTCTTCAAGTTCAATGTGTTTTCCTCTGTGCCATTTGCTGACTTTTAAAAATAATTTTAGGGGTTGGGTTTTTTCAGTTCATTTTTTTTTTAAGATTTATTTACTTATGCACACAGAACTGGGGAGGTGAGAGGATTCACCAGAGACAGAGTGGGGAGCAGAACAGGCAGATGGATGACATACACTGCTGAGGGGAGCAGCAGGTGGGACAAGGGAGGTCTGTGGCACCATGTGGGTCAGCTGTGGGCCTCGGCTCGAACTCAAACTGAATCGACTGAGGCTCGCTTGCAGCACTGTGCTTTAACCTATTGCACCACTAGGGAGGGCTGGATTTTTCAATTCTGATATTTCTATTTTTCTGTTATGACTTTCAAATCTTTAATTAAGGATTACTATTATTTTCATTTTTAAAACATGTTCAAAGTCACCAAACCATTTGATGATGGGCACACTAAAAATTTTACAGGCAATTAAAGCATCCCTATCAATTCAGTGCTGACATCTTTGCATTACTCTTGATTTATGAGTAATGCTCAAATTGTATCCTGGACATTGGGGGTATTATGTTATGGGACGCTGGGACTGACCTAGACATTCGATTTGAAATGTGACCTTCTGATGCCACTTTGGAACATGCAGGAGCATCACCACCTTATTGCTCTAGATCAAGGTAAAAATGAGGGGTCCCTGTTAGACAGCTGACTGCAGGAGCTCCTTGTTACCGCTGAGTGAGGCTTGGGCACCCCTGCACCCTAACAAGGCCAGGAGCCTTGGATCCCATTCACTGAGCTTTTGATAATAGTGGCTGAGATGGAGCTCCATTTGTACTGTGATAACTGGACACAACAGAGTAGCTATTTTCTAGAAGTTTCTGTCTTGCTAGTCTGAATATTCCCTAGTCCTTTGTTCAGAGCAAGAAGACTTCAGTTGGGTTTTCTCTGGATTGTTTTGTTTGGTTTTGTGCCCGTTGGTGTCTCCAGACCGCTGGTGTCTCTCGCTCCTATTTGGAGATACAGGTGGCAAAAAGAAAATCTGGGAAACTCACTATAGTATCATGTTTTGAGTCCCAGGTTCCCTAAGGGGCATGACTCTTCAACCATAAGTTCAGGTTCGATCTAAAGTTTAATGTTTAGCATTTTTAGTTGTATTTAATGGGTTAAGTAGCAAAAATATGTCTGCTCCATCTCCCCAAAATGAAGTAGGAATAGTATGTAAATGTGAAGTGGGGGAGAGAAAAGAGCAAACCACAAATAAATAAAGAAGAAATCAAAATCCCCAATAATTTTAAATTAAAATGTCAGTTAGATACATATTTTTTGGTATAATATAAGATATAATTACTTTTCCATGAAAAATGTTTTGTCTCAAAAAATGTTGGTCTCAAAAGAGTAAAAGGGGGCCTTTCAAAATGTAAATAAAAATACACAGATCAGGCCCTCCCTGGTGGTGCAGTAAGAAGCTAAAGCCACTTCTGCATGAGTTTGATCCCCGCCTGCCCCGGAGGTGACCCCAGGGCGCGGCAGACCTCTCCTGACCCGCCCGCTGCTCCCCTCAGCAGTGTACTTCGTCCATCTGCCTGTTCTGCTCCCCGCTCTGTCTCTGGTGAATCCTCTCACCCTCAACACCTCTGGCCTGTACCCCAGTGCTGTAAGCATAAATAGATAAATCTTAAAAAAAAAAAAACTTAAACGAACACACATACACACACAAACACACACACACCAGCACATTGTATCTGTGAGAATTTAACCCAACTTTTATTTTCCTTTGAAAGAAGGCTTTGTTCTGCAGATTTATGAACTGAGCATACCACTCCGGAGATCGCGGTAAAACACATCCCCAATTAGTATCAGTACTGGCTTTCAACACTTAGCCCTTCAGTAAGAATCAGGGGAAATCATGTGTGGAGATTGATTGCAGGATAGTGTAAAGTCAGCTAAACTTACGCAAGGCTACGTACTCATAAGGATGTTTAGAACTTTTTCTTGAACCAAAACCGAAAAAAAGTTGCACATCAGAATCTGCTACTATTCTTCCAGCTCTTGGGTAGCCCGAGGATGGGAGGAGAGTTTGCCCCCAACTTCTGGAGTCATCACTGACATATCACCCTGAGTCTTCCTGCACTGCCATCCTTAGTGAACGGTAACTTTCATACACCTTATTGTGTGATGCTTCACACAGATGCTTCTCAAGACAAGAAAAAAGGGGTTTCTCCTGCTGGGTTGATTCCCCGTAGAGAATAAAAGTTATAAAGCATCATCAGTTGTTTGCCTTTAGCTTCACCATGGGGAAATGTTGGTTCTCACAGTTCGGGATTTCTCATGGCGACGCTCCAAGGTGCCTGTCCTCCACACAGCACCCTGCTACAGAGGGCCTATGGACAGGGGAGCGAGCCGGGACCCAGAGCAGCCGCTCCCCTGAACTCTTCCTCATCATTCTCATCACCCCCTGCGCTGCCTTAGGCAAGTTTCCCCGCTGTATCTGTGTCTAAGCCCTGTGTGATACCTGTTACCGTTGTTCATATTTCACTCTGCAAACTGAGACTCAGAGAGGCTTAAGGATTTGACCAGAATCATCCCAGTAGCGTGCAGCTCTGAGGTTGGGCTTTTCTGCTGTGCTATGCTCATCTGATAGGAAACGCAGGGCTGGCGGTATGGGTTGAGTCTTTGCAGAATCTTGCAGGGACGAGACCATTTAACACAAATCCGTTCCCTCCTAGGCTTTATTTTCACTACCTTAATTCCATGTCCTAAATGTGCCTACACATGTGTTTCCAAGGTGTCTTCCACAATTGCCCATTAAAACATATAACTTATGATTTCCCACGTTCGATATGCCAGCACTAGTTTTTATGAAGTGCAAATAATTCACTCCCTGCTCCTACCTCTAAGGGTGATAATTCTCCTTTACCAACGAGACAGAACAGAGTTTACAATCTGTGAAAATTAATTTGTTGTCGGTGAGGTAGTGTGAAAAATAGATGTTTCTACTATTTTACTTGTCATACCTAGAAAATGCAATAACAGCTTCAAAAGCAAGATTTCCCTGTCTGTCAGTCATCAGCTGTCAACACCCCTATTCACCCACCAGAAACTACATTCAGCACCTCTCTGTCTCGTGGTCCTGAGGATAACCTAACACATTAGATCCAGCAGGCACTGCACATTTTTTTAGATAATACATTTTTTAAATATATTTATTATATCATCCTTCATTTTTGAACAGTGTATTGTTCCCCTGAAATTCCCACCACCTATTCCCCGAGCACCATTCCCAGAGTCCCTTGTGCTCGTCCACCCCTGTCCTTGTCCTGCTCCCTCCTCCTCCCCTACAGAGTGTCTCTGAGAGAAACTTTTAATGAGCATTTACTCACAGCAAGACTTGCGTTTTCCATAGGGTGTTTCCTTAGTCAAACATTTTTTTTTTTTTTAAATAATCAGATAACTCAACACGAGTGATGACTCAATACCATTCCACAGCATTACAAAGTCACTCAATAGCCAGATTACATTAACTTACGTGATTGCTGGTGCGTGTCTTACTCCTTAAGTAAGCAAATATCCTCAGTTAAACTCCTTAGAACAATATCATAGAATCACTTCAGATGTCTCAAATTTATATTCTTTAATACCTTACCTCTGTTTGTAATTCACAGACCACTCTATCCTTGCTGATTTGAGATTTGAACCCTTCCTTTGTTCCTGATGACATTTCTTCAACATCATTTTTATGTTGGCCATATGGAATATTAAGCTGGAAAAAAAAAGGTTAAAAATCAAGATCTCATGATTCTATAAGTACTGGTTCCAAGATAATCCATTAAATTAGCCTTTCAAGCAGGTTTTAGTTTTATATTCTGAGTTGACAAATCTTAAATTTATAGAAAAATTCTCATAAATTCTAATTAATCAATTGAGAATTGAATAAGACATGTTTACCTCCACAAACCTCTGATAATTGACCATTGGTTCTCAATGAACCCAAGTGATCTTGATTTTAAGTCTCTAATATTCATTCCACATTATTCTTTGTAGTCCTGCCTATGTCTAAATTTCTATGAAGCCTTAATAGTGTAAAAATTATAGCAGAACCAACCAACTTGACCTGTGAAAAACACATCACTGTTTTATTAGAGTTGACAAAATATATGTAGAACATCTACAAAAGATGCATAAATTGTCCGAGAAAACTAATGTAGGAAAACAACACATGACAAATTATTCATTACTAAAAAGAAATGCATCATCAAGTCATAAAAAGACTCTGAGGTGCCTTAAATGCATATTACTACATGAGAGAACCCAATCTGGAAAGGCTACTAATTGAATGATTCCAACCATATGACATTCTGGAAAAGACAAAATAGAAAAAATCATGGGGTTGGATGGAGAGAAGAGAAGGAATAAGAACAACAGAGGATATTTAAGACAGTGGAAGTCTCTGTGTGATGGATACTACAATGGTGGTTAACTGTCATATGTTTCTCTAAACCCATAGAATCTACACAGTGAGCGGTTACCCAAGGTGAAATAAGGACTTTTGGGTGACAATAATATGTCAATGCAGGGTCATCAGTTGTAAGCAGGCTACCGGGGCAATGGGGAAGGCTATGCATGAGTGTGGTAAGAGCTGGTGGGAAGTCTATGTATTTTCTACTCAAATTGGCCTTGAACCTGAGTCTCTCTAAGAAGGCAAGTCTGTATTTAAAAAAAATAAATTCAGAAAAGTGAGAACAATTCCATAAATGCACAGTGATTTTCCCCATAGCTGTTCTTATAATTAAAGTTTCCACACAACCAAGAAATTTGGTAAATAGAGAAAATGTGTGTAGCTACATACATCTATGCTACTTTATTGTATTATCACACTTTTCACTAAAAACATAATGGTAAATATTTCTAGAGCTTCTGGAAATGTCCAATACTTGTATGTGACCTTATGACAAATTAGAACATGAAAGCTGATGTTACACCAACTCTTCAAAATTAAAAAAAAAACAATATTACTCATAATGTTAATAGTAATACTAATCATATACAAATCTCCAGAATTAGACTTGATATATATACCTTATATATACATGTACTTTCCTAACAGAATTCTGTAGTAGGTATTACGAAAAGTAAATCATATCTTTAGTAGGCTTAAGCAACTTTCCAAAGTTCACAAAGCTAAAAGCTGGAGGAAGAAAACTGTTAAGAATATTCTTGCCAAATTCATTATCTGAGTTCCAAATCACAAATACTGTATTTATAAGTATAACATTAAAGCCCACTATAGTAACTGTTTGGAAGGCAATGCACTGATAAATAGATAACAGATGAAAATGGTTGAAAATGAGTGAAAGTCTGTCTATGCATGTTTCACCCATTTTCATATAAGGAGCACTGTGGTATTAATATCTGGCTAAAATAAAAGTTGTTTTGCTAAAGAAAATAATAACTTCCCAGGGTAAAATGAAAGCAACAGGTTATGGGTTGAGTTCACCAAAGTAAAATCTAATTAAGTCTGATAATTGAATGCCCCCAGCTTAACTTCTGAAATCTCGGTCATTAATTCTCAGGGAATTAGATCAATCAATAAACCCTGCCATTGTCAACAGAACTTTCAATCAACCTTCCCACTCAAAGGAGAAGAGGTAGGGGAAATAAATTTTCATACACAACAGTTGGGGGAATGGACCAATTAACTAAAATAATTCCGTTTTCTTTATCATCCTAAGTAGAAAATCAAGGATCTTTGTACAGAGAATCTAAGAGCATGTCAAAAAATAATAATAATGGTCAAGGTTAAGTAACAGAGTGTCTGCGAGGGAAAATGAAACAGAAAATTGGTACAATTTAAAACATGAAAGAGAACGTTCCACTTTTGAAAACCTAACCATTATCTTCAGGGGGAAAATGAATACACATAGCTTTCATAAATTTAGGGCAGAGTAATTTCAAAATTGAGAGAATAACAAAAGAATTCTTTATTGTTTTACCATCCATTATATGACAAAAAAAAACTTATTAGAAAAGTTGGAAGACAGAGATGAGAGCTGTGATGCCCAGCAATTCAGTCCTTGCTCCTGTCCCCTACACATTCAGCTTTCGGGACAACCTGTTGGCCCCAATGGCACTGCACACTCAGCAGCATGCTGACCTTCTGCAGAATGTCTTTCTTTCCCATCAACCTTCCACTTTCCATGCTGATGAGGAAGGTAACTAGGTCTCAAGTGTAGATCCTCCTTGGTCCCCAGCCCTGGTCAATCTGGAGTTCCCATTCCAGCTCTTGGTTTCCTCATTCTATCAAGTAATTAGCGTTTCTTACATTCTCCTCCACAATCTCCCTCTCATTCATCCCTCCACTGATTTCTGCTACATCCCTCCCCCATACTGCCCAACACACAATATTCACCCACACAAAGCGATACTGTTGACAATACTTGTTCACACATGCTTCTAGCTACATGTAGAAAAGCTTCTGCTTCTTTTCTTCCTATCTCCCCAACCATTCTGTCTTCTTTTTCATTTTTTGACCTAGCTGGTGCCAATCCTCCAAGATCTCTTTGGCTTCATTTAATACCCCAGTTCTCTATGGTCTCATCTACTCCCATGGCCTCACCTGCCTATCACTGGTCATTGCTCAAATCGCTCTACTCATACTTTCAACATCCTGACAACTATTTCCGTCTCGACTTTAGCATGTTCAGAAGTAAAGTCATCACCGTTCACCTTCGTTTCTCTATCTCGTGATGTTCTGCCATGATGAATAGCTACCTAAAATTAGATCAGAAATCTAGAACATCTTCTCTCTACTTCCCATGTATCTACAACATTCAGCTGATCCTCACACATCTCTCTTCTTCCAACAAGCTTAGGACACATTTCCTCATTCCCAGAATGCCCCCAAAGTCTTCTTCACACTGAAGATGGAGTCTTTTATTTTATTTTAATCAAACTGTCCTCAAGTCAACATTTATCATTGTTGAATTGCATTCTGGTTGATGAATGTATTGATAATTTGATTTTTAGAAGCATTAAATATCAGCTACTTCAAAGTGTAAGGCCAAGTGTTCACCAGTCAGATTTTAAGAGCAATACTATGTTTTTATGAAAATTGAGGGAGAGAAGAAAGAATGACTCCAGCTATAATGGAAGGCTACCCAAATGCAGGGAACCTAGAGATGGATAAGAGTAAGGTGAGGTTCCACATTCCTTGCATGTGTACGAAGAATCCTCTGAAATTTTGTGCCTTATTATCATAGCTACAAAAGTTTTCTATATAGTAAATTTTACCTAATTCACTTCCTCAAATTACAGATGGTAGAAAGATACTAAAGAAGAAAGCGTAACTGTGATCAATGCACAATACATTGGCTCCTTTAATCAAAATAACAACACCAGCAATTGTCTCAGTGACCTTTAAATAACTTTATTCTCTTGTTGATGCATTATTTACATTTTTAAGACTCTTCGAGTATATTTATGTAGATTAAAAAATGGAAATTTCTGATTAATTTTAAATATTGATGCTTTAGATAAAATGATTGTCACACTTTACTGTTGCAATGATATCTAAAAACCATAGAAATTTGATATTCATCTATATTGTCAATTTTATTTCTTGAATGTTGATTTTTATTTTACCTCCTTTAGATCATCATTCTGTGTAGCATGTTTATACATGAAAATATCTTTGTTTTCCAATGCAAAGTAAAATATGTACATGAATTATGTATGCAGGTGTTAATGACTGTAAGAGTTCAGATGTTACAAAGTTTCTTTTGGATTGAATTATCTTAATTATTATAGGCACATCATTGCTTACAAACAAGACAAGATACCACATATTGTGATAATTATTAAATGTATACTAATCATTTACTGGAAATGTATCTGCTAATGAGATGGATAGATACACTTTTCAATTAGTTTGTGTATCCATGGATGAAATTACTTATCGATAGAAAGAAATAAGATTACCAGGTTTATTTATTCATTTTTAAATGTAGGTACTGAGAAATCTGATCACGCATGTGGATAGAAAAATACGGTTTTGTATAGCAGTCATTGCTTGTGTTGTTTGTTAATATCTTTTTGAATGTATGGCCAGATCACTAAATCATTATATGTTACATTCATCATCTATCTACTGTCAATCTATGAAGTCCGATTATAGTGTTTTTATGAACAGGAAGAGAAGAAATCACCAAAGTAAGCCATTGATTAGCTGGGTTTTCAACATTGGTATTTCAAAACATCTCTTCTTTCAGTACTGAGTTCTTCCCTTTCTGGTAGAATGTTTTGAAGTTATAGTGGGGTTGGAGATAAGCGGATTTGCATTTGAGAAGTGTATGGAGCATAAAATGGAACAATAGAACCTGCTTGCATAGCTCAATGGTAGATCAGTTTCTGAAGACCTTATATGGAAGGTGGGGCCGTGGGGCTGAAAACCAGACATCACTATGGGGAATTGTGGGAAGATGGTCTTGTGATTAGTCAGTGTCTACAAATCTCCCCATGAAAACAGGCTAAGCATTTAGAATAATAAATTTAAAAGCCTATGGATGCCCACAGCCAAATGAGGGGACCTGTTTTCCCTATGAACTCTGAGACCCAAGAGGGCTAAGATAATCCACTTAGAGCTTCAAGAATTGGAGGGTTTCTGCATCTGGATGTAAAAGTTAAAGAGAAAGAATATGATCTGGAGATCTGGAGAGCCCTAAAGTTGACAATAAGCGTTCCCAGGC